TAAAAACTTTTAACTTTACTAAACCAAACTAACGGTAACGAACGAAGTAAACCGTAAAACTAAACGTTAACTTTAACTTACTTACTTACTTACCTTACTATAATATATATATATATATATATATATATATATATATATATATATATATTTAGAGAAGTTCACTATAATTGTATTGCAGAATAATAGAGTATGCAAAAAGAGGTGACCAAAATGGTCACTGTACAATCCTGAGGGGGGAAAGAGAGGCAAAGAACCACTCCTAGCAGAGGAAAAGGAATACAAATGGCAAAAAGGCTTATCAAACTCGGAAGCCGATAGATTGGCCAGAGAAGGGTACCCCTGAAATATTTACAAACACAGGATTGGAATATCTATAAGAAAGAAAAAGGGAAAATTTCTTATAGAATCCTAATTCCTCATATTATTTCATGGTAGACCCTCCTTCTGTTTTTTTTTCAAGAGGCATAAAAAAACCCCTAAATATTTCACCTTACCCTCTCATCTCTTATCTCCATCTGTTATTGACTTTTGATTGTAAAAATTAACCCCAAAAACTTTTTTAATGGGTGGAAAGAGAAAATGAGGGTTAAAAAAGTTTTTGGGTTGAAATGGGTATAAAAAGATTTGTTGGGGCTAATTTTTATGGTAAAAAGTCAATAAAAGAGGGAGATAAGAGATGAGCGGGTGCGGTGAAATCTTTAGGGGTTTCTTTATGCCGCTTGAAAGAAAAACGGAATGAGGGTCTATCATGAAATAATATGAGGAATTAGGGTTCTATATGAAATTTTCCCAAAGAAAAAAGAAACCCTAATTTCTCAAACACCAGCTTCCTTGGTTCTCAATGGCCTCTTACCATGCAATGCTGGCTTGATGTTATGTGTATTTACAATATCAAACCAAATTTAATCATACTTAACCAAAAAAAAACCAAATTTAATCATACTTATCCAAAAAAAAACCAAATTTAATCATGTAAAGCTTATGGTATTCTTGACCTAGTCTGTGTCTGTTCATGAAATAATTAAATAATGGGGATAAATCCTTGGGGAACTTTGTATGTACCTCAGTATTTAAAGCCATGGTGGAATTCTTATTCTCAAGGTTCTAAGAGAATTTGTAAAGATCAACTTCTGGGATGGAGATGAGCTTTTGGAATTCTTGATGTTGGAGCCTGGGGGTGTGGACAGAGAAAGTTATGGTAGAATCCTGTCTCTCTCTCTCTGTCTATCTATTTATCTACCTACCTATATATATATATATATATATATATATATATATATATATATAGTATATTAGTTAATTATAGTATTATTAGTTCGTTCGGTTCGTGGTTGTTGTTGTGTGTCTC